ATGGTTGTATAGTCTGGCCTGGGGCGCAGTGTGCGGGGGGGGGGCGGGATATAGTGTTGCTTAAGAGAGTAGCGAGAGGGGGTGGATTGGTGGGGGAAAAACACTGCCCTATAGGAACTTGTCTTTTATTTTAAAAATACTGGTGGTCTCATGTGTACATGAAGGCTCAACATAGCTTAATTAAAATGCCCACCTGCCAGGAAAAAAGACAAAGATGAGAAGCTTCCATAGACGGGTGTTTTGTGACTACTACTCACTCTCCTTGGCATCCAGCATCATGATCTCAGAAGCCCAACTGTGCTACTAGACCTGAAAGTTTGCTTACCTGTACCTTCGATTCACAGAGTAAATTAGTTTTCACTGTTAGTCATCTCATTCCAGCCCAAGAGCAGCTGTGTGATGCTGAGAAACAAGCATGGGACTAAATCCCAAACCGCAGCTGATTCACTCCATCAATTCAGATAACTCACTTAACTACCGACTCAGATTTCCCATGCCCAGAGTATGATTAATAATTCAAAACTCTAATCAACGGATAGCTCAGATAATGCTTCTGTGCCTGGAGCAGTTCAACTGTTGTACAGCTAGAGCAACCAGATGCTGAGTATTTCATGGTTTATAAAAAGAAATATTTTTAAACTTGAGAGATTCTTGCCATCTTGCAAACGTAAATCATTCGGAAGTTACATTTCAAACTAAACCTGACAGAGTTAATATTTGCACAATTACCAATCATGAATATTTTTTCAAATGTAAATATCAGGGCTAGGAATGTTGAGTTAGGAGAAGGGATTTAACATGTTGCCCCTTAATCATGCATAAGATTATAGCCTATTCTGTACTTATAATAATCTATAAAAGGTCTTCAATTCTACCAAGTTTGATTAGGAGCTTTCAATAAAAGAATTTTGTCAACAGGTTTGTAAATGCTTAAGTTTATGAAACCTATTGAGTCACTTTTACCCAGTGCTTCTTAACATATTAAATAACTCCAAAGGATAGTTGCGGTCATATCACAGACACTATTCATTATGGCAAGACAGTTTAGTGGTATTGCCCCCATTTCCCCCTAGGCATAAAGTTTCTTTTTAGGGCTTGGATCTTTTAAAGCAAGTTTAGATTTTCCATTTTATTTCTCCCTGCTTAGTTGCTTTCGGTCTACAGACCCATCTATGCTACAACTGCATGCAGGAATATTCTTTGCCTTTCAAACATGCTTAGGCCACATTTCACGGCTAGCCACTTGTAATGGGGAGTATCTGGATGCACTGACTAGTGTTACTTAAAGATATAACTTTAGTTTGATGTCCTTATAAACATACACATCTAATCAATAAATGTGTTTCATTAGGATCATGATTAATCATAGTAGTACATCATGTAAGTTTATAGAACCCTCTCAAAGGTGAACCTCATCATAGACTTGAGATCTGGGAAGGTGCAGCTAACTAATCAGCTTCAGGGCTTTGTCTGCTGTCATCTCCAAAGGGGACCCAAGAAGCAGAAGGGACGTAACGTTTATTCTTTGCTTTGTATTATATTCCATAACTGAGAGCAGTTAATTTGCTTTGACTCTTTCAATACATTACTTTCACCTTCACTCTACTTGGGTATATACTGCCTCCAAATTCCAGAACTTGCTGTCTATGTTGGCAAAACACTCGCAATCACTATTAGGCAAGAATCATCATAGTTCCTGCAAACAAAAGTTATACTTGACCAATATAACTTTTGTTTGCAGGAGCTGTGATGATTCTTGCCTAGTAGTGATTGTTGTTCTGTGCAGATAATGGGACACATTTCTAAAGAGGCAAAGGCTTGACTCATGCTTTACTGTATTCCTAGTGACTATAGTTTCCCCAGCAACTTATGGAAGTAGCTGCCACTGCCTTCTTCCAGGATGTCGTTTTGATTTCCAGTCTAACTTTCAGGCTTGGGATGTCCTGATGGTGTCCCATCTAAATATTACAGGTAGTCCTTGTTTAGCAACCACAACTGGGATTGGCAACTTGGACATTAAGTGAAGTGGTTGCTAAGTGAAACTGCGACTGTGTTTATGATCTTCAGCTTTGCTTTACAGACCTGCAAAGGTCATAAATGTGAGGATTGGTCATAAAGTTACTTTTTCATCACTGTCGTAACAGCGAATGCTTGTTAAATGAGGCAGTTGTTAAATGAGGAATACCTGTAAACCTATCTGACCCTGCATAGATGTATGTGTAAAAAAAAAAGGCTCATTTTGCCACCTATAATACTTTCCAGCAATTTGTCTGAAACAGGTAGCATACTATGAATTTTGTAATTTCCTGGCTCCTCTCAAACACATAGGTGTATTCTATCTATATCTTGTTAATTCTGAACCTGCCAATCTTGGAATTTCGTATCTTGACAAATATATTTCTCTTAACTTCTCAAATGGCCTGTCCTTCCCACCCCAAAAATGTTCAGGTTTGGATATCTATCCAATAATTTTACAATGGAGATGAACACAAAGAATATGCCCACTTTTTTTTTGGAAATATCTACCTATTTCTTTAGTTAGAAATCTTTAGAAATTCCTTAAATCTTATGTTTTCTCTGTTTCAATACCTTCTTCTTGTTTGCTGCTTCAGAAATATTTAAAGGTCTATTTATCCTTTTGGCTGCAGAATTGCATTTTAAAGCTTTAGTATCTGAGGAACTACAGATAAAGTAGCTAATGCCATGATGTTGTGAGAGTGGGCAGGATCAAAATTAGCTGCCTTTTGAGGGTTGGGGTTTTTAATAAATGAAAGAGATCCTAAGGCCAATATGCTGTTAACTGCTTTGTTCTTCAGCTTAACATTTCTAGCAATATAATCCTTGTCTCCATATAGCTTTGACAGCATTTAGTCCCTTTTCTGTTCTCATCTGCCCATAACTTCCACTTAAATGGAAATTAATAACTTAGCAATTATTTATTTATTCATTCGTATAGCTGCCCTTCTCAGACAAGTGACTCTGGATGGCGAACAATTTTTTAGGTCCCTTAGCACCTGCTATTAAGTACTAAGTAACCTTTTAGGGTTTTTAAATATTCGGTGAAATTTTGTTTTGGTTTAAATAATCTTCAAACATCTTGGAGGGATCTGACCCTCTTAATTCTTCTTTTCAGTTTACTTGTATCTCACTGCCAGGGACATTTTGTTCTGAACTCTCTGTATCAGTTGTCTATAACTGTATACCCAGGGCTCACCTGACCATGATAACTTATATAGATATGGATCTCAATATTAAATAGTTGATTCTTCAATAATGTCATTCTCCTTAGTATGATTATTTCAAAATTAAATCTTAAGTTCAGTGGTGGGTGAATCATAGTGTGTTTAAGATTATAACCTCAGAATTAATGGGTACATTTATTTCAGGTATAAACTACAATTATCCATAAATTCAAGTGATCCAGAATGTAAGAATACCTACTCAGAAGTTAATTCCAATTCTTAGTAAGTATGCTAAAATGTGCAGCCTGAACATGTGAGCAAAAGCCACATTCAAGTGCAATATAAAAAACAAAGGTGAGTTAGTAGGAGAACAATACCTGAAACCTCTCATCTCTCCAGAAAATCCAACTTTAACAATGACTCAGTATGAAATATAACAGTGAGGTCATTCCTCAGTCACTCAACAAAGAGACACACTAAGTAATTATACATTTTCTCCAAGGCATAGGAAAAGATTGACTTAATTAAACAGCTATAGAACACATACACCCTTGAGTAAAAAAACTTCTACAAAATGGGGGTGGAAATGTGAATTTACCCAGAAGCTCCAGTCAGCACTCCAGTTATATGGAGATGTGGGCTGCATTTTCTCAGTGCACACACTAAGATTCTCTTCTGAATCCACCAGTAGTTGGCTGATGAGGCCATGGTCTACTTCATGAAGGGCCTGTGAACGAGGAATATAATATGCTGTTTTAGCAAGGCAAAGGTTAAAATCCAAAAGCCCTGAATAAAATGAGAGGAACAAAGAATAAGTATCCCATTCTCCCTAGGTTAGCGCATTTAAGAGGTTTTTCTCCTCCTGTTCAGTGCATAAGGAATGCATCTTTGTTTCTATTATTTTTGTGTATAAACAATAATCTGCTATGTTACATATTTTAATTGTTTTCCCCAATTGTTTATTTTCAATTTCAATTTATTTTTTTGGTACATGTTGAAAGGTTTTAGTAGCTGAGGGTATTATAAGTTTAATAAATAAAATAAATACCTGGGGAAATATGTTTTCCCATCAGCTTTTCTTTCCAGACAGCATTTTGATGGTTATTTTGGACAATCCAAAGCTTGTCCAAAGCTTAAAAGGGGCGTGGGTGTATCTACACACAATATTTTTACATCCCAAAGAAATGAGGCATTTTATGTTTACTAGTTAAGCTTACAAAATCTTTAGGACCAAAATATTCTAAACCACTTACCCCTCTACATTAAGATTATCTGACAACTGCAATCTGGCAAACTTCTGCATCTTTGACAAGGTGGGGCAGGCAGGAATTCAAGGCCCCAAACTCTTCCCATTCCCCACCTGGATGACAGGAAACCTGACCCTTCTAAAGGTATTATCGTTGCCTCTAGTTTGTTATGTTAAAGGTACAGAAGTGGGTGAACGGGAATCAAGGCAACGGCCAGCGGAACAAGAAAAGAAAAGGTTCGGCGATCCTAGCCAAGGGTGGAAAAAGCGATCGAGAAATAACTTTCCGCCTTTTTCTTTTAGGTCTCAAAAGTCTCTCCGCCACTTTTTCAGCAGCCATCACCGGGAAACCGAAACGCAGCAGCTGACAGGCGGCGACCGAGAAGACAAACGCACACTTTCAATCTCACATCCCCAAAGGTCATCAGTTGTTTTTATTTTACGTTAAATTTTAAATCCAGCTGCCCATAAAAGGGGGGGGGGAGAGAAAGGGACGTTTAGCGTCTCTTACCATGGAGAGAAGAAGGACTCAACCTGCGAGCGGACTCCCCTCAGCTTAAAGGGCCAGCAGCACCAAAGGAAGAGCGACCACGCGTGAGCTTCTCTCGGCGAGCCCTTCCGAAGACCAGCAGTTAGGCTCAGTTGCAAAGGAGGATTCATGGGCTCTGCTGGGGCGGCGTGACTTGTCCCTGATGAAAATAATCCCCGTGAAAATAATCTGGAAAGAATCGCCTCTCACCCAGCCAGGGGAGAAGGTACAGTACTGGGGGATATTTTCAGGGAGGCTGAACAGATAACAGAATTTAATCAGGAAGTCCTCCCTCTTTGATTTTAAAAAAGCAACGACACATAAGTGAACGTCTTTTTATCAGTGCATTTTTTTTTTTAAACTTTGTTTTTTCTGTCTTTTTGTACTAATTTGGGTCATCTTCCATCGTTTCCAACTGGTGAAACATAAAGCTGTTGTTTACGTAAACTTAAATGAAGCTGAGTTGCGACCACAGCAACAAGGCTAAGTCATTTTCTTTAGCAACAGCATGGAAATAGTTTGCCAATTGCCTTCTTCCTGTATGTTTTTTTGACCTTGCAGTCTGTTCTCCATCCCTGGAATAGTGTTTATGCTACTGAGTCAAATTTAACTTATTCAAAAATAAAAGTGAATTCTAGAGTGAAGTTTTCAACCCAGGTTGTTTGCATAGTGAAAAGAATATTCCTGCATGTTATTGACTTGTATAGCAAATTATATTTGCTCTCACACTACACTTAACCACAGTTAACTAAACAATTTACCATTAGTCATTTGTCATGGTCTGATCACTCTTTGATTGTTTTTTCAAGCAGGGAGGTGGGTTGCTCTGCTCTGAGTGATTTATGGTCTCTTTGGGTTCCAGAGGGAGTCCATGGTTTTCCTTGAGGATGTTGTGGGCAGTTCACTGAGGCCTTAGCGTTGGCCTGGAATGGGCAGGTGACAAAGGCCTTGGATTGGATTGTTCCCATGCAGCTTTTGCCTGTGTGTCAGTCCCAGGGGCTTCCTTGGTTCTCTGAGCAGCTCCAGGAGTTGAAACAATACAAGAGATCAATAGAAGCGAATATGTGTAGCTCGGGGTTGAACTGTGGAGTCTTTGGGGTTCTCTGAGCTTGGTTGTTCTCTTGCAAACATTTCATTACCTGGCTAGGTAACATCTTCAGTGCTAGAATGGAATGGGGTTTGCTCTCAATATATAAACAGAGAGCAAACCCCATTCCATTCTAGCACTG